TATTTTATTTTATTAACATTAATATTGATTTAGTTCAAAGTTGTCCAAACACTCCTGAGTGAATCCTACTGGACATTTGACAGCACTTTGTTCATTGTATAAGTATATAGGATGGAGAAGAAAGTCTTCAAGGAAAGATTAGTCACACAATTGTCCCCTTTGCGGGGAGGATGAATAATCATCATATCTCAATCAGATTTCTAGGCCACTTTCAGAGAGGCTGCAGCATCTGGCAGTGCTGTGGAGAAGACATCTGCTCACAGCTTCATAGATCACACATGCAGGGGTCTATTCATGTGACCTCTATTCATCCAATCAGCATTCAAATGTGAACACTTGTTGTGCCATAAACTGAGCGCTCAGGCTAAATATTCATTCTCAGCCTGAATATTTTTTTTCTCTCTAATACATTCCCTCTCCTGCAGGCATCTACTGCTGCGGGTTGTTGAGCACCAGGAAGAGCGATTGTACAGGTCTTCCTCAGTCTATGCTGATCAATACCGAGGCTCCACAGCAACGTGGCCAGTCTCACATTAAGATGAGAGGCAATATGTCCATAATCAACTGGTACAACAAAGGCAACTTCAGGTTCCTCACTAATGCCTACCCTCCCACTAAAGAAGGTAAGAAACACACAGGACAGGCAGATTATATGTTTCTTCTTGCTTGAATGAAGCAGTTTTGTCAGTTTATAATAAAAGGAATAGGGCTGCCAATTTAACACGTTAATTAAATAATTAGTTATGAAGAAATACCGCAATTTTTTTTAACGCAGTTAAAGGGTTAGTTCACCCAAAAATGAAAATTAGCCCATGAAGTAAAACAAAACAATGGACACTAATTAGAAGTACAAAACGAGGATTTGTAAAGAAGAATGTCGGAGGATTTCGATATAAGCCAAGAGGAGACTGGTTTTCCTTTGCTAAAGTAAGGAAACTTTGCTTCATTTGATCCTGTAAAAAAACGTTGGTTTTCACAAGACTCACCAGCGCATGCACAACACTGAACTCATGACTATGTCATGCTCCCGGAGCTGCTTCCGTGTAGGACTGTTGGCGCAAGCTACATTAAAGTGATTATTACGTTTTGAATATGGATATTTTTCTTACAAAAACACTTCGATTCGCTACAGAGCCGTGTGAGACACTTTTTTATTATGGATGGATGTGCTTTATTTCACTTCTTTTGGACTGATGAACTGCAACACCCGCTGACTGCCATTGAACAGCTTGGAAGATCAAAGACAATTTTTAATATAACTCCGATTGGATTCGTCTGAAAGAAGAAAGTCATACACACCTAGGATGCCCTAAGGGTGAGTAATTCATGGGCTAATTTTCATTCAACCCTTTAACGCGCCCGCCCCACCCCAGACCTGTATGTCATCTTACACTGCAAACATTTGACTGTTGATTTGACACACATGATGCAGGGCAACAACTCACTGCGTGACACATTCAATAAATGTAGTTATATGCCCCTAAAATTCAAGAGATTGGGGAAAAAATGTCCCTGTATGAGTTTTTGTCTCATATTTAATAAGCGATATCACACGAGTGCTGTATTTTTGTCCAGAATAGCATATGTGCAAATGTGATTTTATAAGACAGTGAATAAGAATTTAATATTGTGTTATATTGTAAACACAATATTGTCTGTTTTTTCTCAATTTTGCCAGCGAAAATATTACCTATAAAGCCACAGCAGAACTGTTGTGCATCTGCAAGCAACACAGTGGTGATTTGTTTCTGAATGAATCAGCCGTTTGAACGAATCGAATGAATGAATGACTCAATGACTTACTCATAAAGACATGTACCGCCACCTACTGGCAGTTTTAGTTTCTTGTTTAGAGTATCATTTCATTAAAAAAATATATTATAATTTATTATAATTATTATTATAAAAAATATATTATATAATATATATTTAAATATTAAATATATTTCCATATAAAAAAAGGATAGTTCACCAAAAAAATTTAAATTCTGACATTATTTACTCACCCTCATGTCATTTCAAACCTGTATGGCTTGCTTTCTTTTGTGGAACATAAAAGAAGATATTTTGAAGACTGCTGGTAACCAGTGACTTTCATTCTATGAACAAAAAATAGAGATGTTTCTCAAATTATATTCTTTTATGTTCCATAGTTTATATTAGGCCATTGTAGCCTAAATGTGTAATAAATTTTATGTTGAATCAAATAAAATATTTCATTCTAAAGCTACTTTTTGTAATGTCTACTTGATACTTTTCTCATTTAACGCAGTGATGGCTTTAAATGACCTTTTGGGGTATTTCCACAAACAAATTTAATTTGCAATTAATTAGATTAATTAATTGCCACATTATGTAATTAATTAGATTAAAAATTTTAATCGAATGTCAGCCCTAAAAAGGAAACATGCAAACTACAAATGACACTCGCAAGCTGCATCAAAGTGCCTCCCAGAGAGCGTCTTCACTATAGCAGTGCAAGCTTAGATTGGTTTTACGCTGATGTTTGTGGATTAAGTGGATATTGTGCACATCATAGGATTATAAAAGGCAAAGCTTCTTTGTATTGCGCTGGTCTTCACTTTTCTTTGATAAGCCTTGATCCATTCTGACAGCAACTTCACATGAGAAATGTCAGCGCTGATACTAGGCATTTTCATTAGTGAGTGATATAAAGCATTGAGCTGCGTCAATATATATTTTATCAATTCAATCATCTTATTTTCCTTTTTATTACAATCCAATCAAAAAGCAAATATATGCATGAAGTGTTCAAAGCACTTCACATTCTCGAAAGGTATATCTAGCTATATCTATATGGTAAACAAATAACATTGCTTCTGATTTATGAGGTCAGGCAAAAGGGAGATTAAATTACGACTTATATTTCATTCTCTGGAATCTGAAATAATACGTTTATATAGTAAAAGCTTTTTGTGCTCCTCTTTGAGAGCAGGTGTCGCTTTTGATTAATAGGGCTATACAGTTTCATTGAAAACTCAGTGCTAGATCTCTGCCAAGTTTTCTATAACCTGAACTAAAATTAGCATCCCACCAGTATTCAGCCTCAACTTTTAGACACTTTGTAAGTCCACAGTCTATAAAAATTATTTCCGTGCATTTCCCTGTAGTCTTTAGGACTCAAAATAGCCCATTTTAATTTTCAAAAAGTGCCAGCATTGTAATTTACATGCCACAAGCACTCCTGAGGAAGACAGTACTTTGTGCTCTAATGAGCAGTAGATTAGTACTGATCGCAACAGATGGCAGTTAATTGTATGCTGACGATATCAGAGGGTTCATAATGGTACAGATCTAATGACTGGGACTTCTTACTGATTATGTTTCAGTGACATCATGTTTTTGATTCGAATTTAATTACATGTGACTCAGATTAAAAATGTAGAAGATGATACATAAGTTATATGATGAGTGATTACACAAGAAGGACGCCTACCAAGGTCGTGCGCCATTCAAAATTGAACTGAGAATGCCTTTTATATTCTAATCCAGTTCCAGAATTTAAACTGAGGTTGCACACAGAATGCAGAACTGTAATTTAAATGTGAATGTAAGAAAGTAGAAATAAAATGACTTGAAATGAAAAGAAATGCAACTGTAACACTTTAAATGTTGACTTGATAAAACCTTGTTTGGAGGTTTAAAAAAGCTTTGAAGTTTGCAGGTTTATAAGACAGACAGACAGGTACAATTCAGTAAATTATTCTTCTTGTTATTCTGATTAAAATTCCAATTTAACTCCCTGTGGTTTGTGGCCAGTTCAATACAGAGTTTGAAATCAAGTAGAAATACAACAAATTGGTGTTCAATAAGATTGTTTAAAATCTACATTTATTCTTGTGATCAGTAAAGGCATGATTCATGCTACTAACAGAGCAGAAGATCTCGTTGCTAAGATGCAGCAGAAAACTGAACAGTCGTTCCTTATTGTCAGATGTTAAATCCTCCTGTCTGCTAACTGTGATTGATATTTCTGCCCGAATTGTCCTAGGGGTGATCATTAAGAGGAAGAGTGGAGAAATCCCATGTCCCCTTGCTGTGGAGGCCTTTGCTGCGCACCTGAGTTACATCTGCAAATATGATGACAAGTACAGCAAGTGAGATTGACCAATCAAGTCTGTTTTACAATGAACCTTTAGGATATATACATGCATTTTATAGTTCACTCAACTCATGTTTTTCCAACTAGGTACTTCATTTTCCACAAGCCTAATAAGACCTGGCAACAGGTGTTTTGGCTAACCATCAGCATCGCCATCAACAATGCCTATATTCTTTACAAGATGTCAGACGCCTACCACGTCAAACGCTACAGCCGGGCACAGTTCGGCGAAAGGCTGGTCGAGGAGCTCCTGGATATGGACGACTGCTCACCCACTCAGTGAAAGAAACCGCATGCTGTCTCAAACCCACCCATGACAACCCACTCATACTAACATACTCAAATACACTTGCATTCTGCACTTCGGGGTCATTTTGAGTGAACAAACCCTATACATAACACAAAATGTGCCAAGTTTGGTTGAAAAAGGGACGTTTCCCCATCTAAACTCCCATTTAAGACCCCATTTGGCCATTTGATACTACAGGACTAATGTACATACGTCACTGTAACACTTGCTGCATGAGAAACACGAAAATGTGCCCTTTGTAGATGTGCAATGATTTTTATCATTAGAGTTCCAGTAATAGTGTTGACATAGTTGTGAACCCTGAGGTGCAATGTTTTGTGAATTCTCTGTTTGTGAGCAGCATATCCAACATTCAGCACTGATAAATATACTGTATATACTCTGTGATTGAGGTGTTTTATCAGCAAAACGAGAATGTAATGCAATTCACACGTTAAATCACAGAAATTCGTAGATGTTCTCCCAAATACCTGGGCTTTTTTCTATTTTATATCATTTAATATTTATGATCTTTAGGACTCTTTTTTTATTTTTTTATTTATTTATTTTTTTTTATATAAAGGCAACAACATTAGTGACACAGATGATGTATAATGCCACACAGACACCGAAACGAGAGGTGAAATGTGGCAACACTACTATGCTTTCCCAATCGTTTTTGCACTCACAATTCGTAAAAGTCTCCTAACTAGGATTTGCAGATTTTAAATAATGTTCCCAAATTAGATTTCCCATCAAATCTGTATTCAATATGACATATTAACTCCTTTGCCTGCCTTTCATTAATATCCATATCGTTTAGTCAATTAAATTATTATGATGAAAATAGGAAAAGGGCCCAATATACAGTAGTATACCAAAAATAATGTAAATATTATTTCTAATAATTCATTTATATATTTTTATTATGTGTAATTTAAATTGATTATCTAGGGGCATTGATGTATTTGCAAATGAATCGGGGGGAAAAAAAGAGAAAAGAATGAAATGATAAAAGACTTTAACTAGAATTTATCTCTACCCGTAAGCGGGTGGATTTATGTGGTCTTTCACTGTTCCAGAAGCTATCAAAATATCAATTCTTCTTGTTGCTATATTGTAACTGTGGTAATGATGGTACAATCGCAGCCCATGGCATAATTCGTTCCTTCAAAGAACTGAAGCAGATTAATTTCCCTCAGGTAATATTTTTAGTCAAACATGTCCCACTGTATCACTGTGTTATATTCATACTAGATAACGACCACTGTAAGGGACAGATGTACTATTGTGAGTGAATTTGTCTCAGATTTACCAGACATGTTTATTTCCTTGGCTTTTCATTTCTTATTTACTGAGCCATCACCTGCTGTTTTTCAAACGCTGCACACTAACAAACCAATTAGTATGTTTATCATTGAACATCACTTAAAACATTCTTTTAAAGCTTCATATTCAGTCTTTACAATTCTGTATAAAAAGTCTACTTTGTAATGTCAGCTGCTGTGATTCACACCAATATATATATATGCCATATTTTATACCTGCATCTTTTAAATCAAGACAAAAGCAATGTTGCATTATATAGGTGTGCTCATAAACATTTCTTTTTGTCATGAATGTTGCAAATGTTTGATTTCACTTCATTGTAATATTTTTGTACTACTTATCTTACCTACATAGTCAATATACAAACAAATACACTTCAGGCGATAACTGCCCCCTGTGCTTATCTAATATAAAATGCAACAGATGATTTTGAGATTGTATATCCGTGTTTTCCAGAGCATCTTTTGGATTCGATCTGCACTTCAGTGGGAATTATTTAATTATTTTAATCAGGCAGACAGTGAACTGTAATGGTGTTAGAGAGATGTTTGACCTTATCTAGGGTGACCTCAGGGTTTTGGAACTACAACATCTACTGTAGTGCAATATAATGTTGGAGATTGGACCGGGTGCTATGAACCTGTCTGCCAAGAACATAATCTGTAAGCCAGAAAATGGTCGGCACGACCGAGACTTTTAATTAAAGCTCTTGCTGGTGCAGTACATTAGAATAAAAACCTTCCAATAAGCAAAGTTTCTGCTTTTGCACTGGCCACTAGCATTGTACGATATATTTTAGGGCCAGCTTCGTGTGGCATGATAGCAGGTAAAAACAAACTGTCCTTTTAATAGCAAAACAGCTATGACAATTATATAGTCTCATTTACTGGAACAAATTCCTCAATATCTGGTCAACGTAACAAGAACCCAGTGTTGGACATGTATCTATTTTCATGTATGAATGTTGTGAATGTGCCGTGTCTTGCTGTATAATGCTTGGTGTTCCTTCACTTGTCTTCTCACTGTGAATGTTGAAATGATTCAGGTGTATGTGAGAGTATCTATGTGTTATCTGTAATGTTCACCTTCACTGTATGTCCAGTTATCAAACTGACCTGTGCTTCACCTCCCTGCTTCTATGTGAGTTTACACCAATTTGCACACTAATAAATGTTGTTTATACATAATTTTTCCCCTACAGTAATTGGTTGCAACATTCATTGCACTATTACTAGAATCTCACAAAGAATTGTCAAGGTCAAATTTTCTATTAAATAGAAAAAGAAAAAACTCTCTCACACTCTCACTCTCACACTCTCTCTCTATATAAGTACTATTAGAACCCTTGTTACTTTTTTTGTTGTTGTTGCATTGTGACATTTTTAGGACACATGCACATTCTGTCCTCAAATCCTCATTACAGTAAAGCTGTGAATTAAAATAATCGACTTAAAGGCAATGTTTGTTTGTTAAAGAAAGAATGAGATTCTTTAAATGTATATATTTAAGATATATATTTATATATAGCAAATGTTATATAAAATGGCAGTTTGTACTGAATTTAATTTTCATTTTTGAATGTAATGTAATACAATAAATACAAATCACAATACAAAAATTCTGAGGGTGCTAGTAGTAGATTGCATTTTTGATACAAAAATATTTATTTAGTTTTGTTAATGCATCATGTGTGAAAACACTTGGGACACTGCATATGTATATAATTTTTTTTTTTTACATTTTATTTTAAGTTAATTATTTTCCGTCATTCAAACTTTTGCAATATCTATAAAACAATGAACAAATACAAGCGCTGTACAGTTGACCAAATCACTATAATTGCAACTGAATGTGTAAATGTACATGCATGGACATACATACTGTATATACACACATATACACCATTACTGTTGACCCCATGCTGTTTCCTTTGCCATTTAATGCAACATCAAGATCTTTCTAAAATTGGGTTTTCAAGGAAACCAAAGTGACAAAAAAAAGGTGGGGTCACAAGTCCTAAAAATGAAACTGTCCTAGTCTGGAGTAGAAGTGTGTTTCCATGTTTCAATCAAACAGCAAATGACTTTGGCACACTGTGCTATGTAAACATTTCATCCAATTCAAATATTAGCCATAATGTATTGCTCTGAATTTGGTTCTTCAAAAAGCCCATCATTCAAAGCCCAAACTTTACATGATTTCATTGGCTTCTCCTTTTAAACTGAAGAAAGTTGGCTTGATTCACTATGGCAAAAGTGCAGTCCACATCTACCTCTTGCTTTCCCGTCCAGCAGAATCATCTGACATACAGGAACCCGATGAAGCTACAGAACGCGGAGAACAAAATGCAGGTAGGTGGGCCGATTTTCTTCCTAAAGGCCACACAATCTCTGCCCAGACTCTGAAACATCAAGACAGAGAGTCTTCCGTTGCATGTTTCTGTTGCCGTCTTCACACTTGCTGATGGAGAACTGTTATTTATGGGACAATACAGAGTGGTGCAGACGAACCCAACATATACAAGTCTAAGATTAACATAACACTTACTGCTGATACATGAGGAGAGCTGACTGAAAGCCAGTCAGGGACTCATTTAGTCTGGATTCCCTAGCCTACAATAAGTTAGTCAGAATTGCTACGGCGTTATACGTGAAATGCAGGTGGGTTAAATGATTGCTTCACATATCACAGGCTTCTTTGTCTGTTGGATTTACAGTAACACTAGTTCTGTTAAAATCAACTGAAGTACCACAAAGATTCACAAGGTTTGGATGTGAAAAAGTATCTCGGGGGCATGAATAAAATGCTAATTAAAAGGACACTCACAAACAGTGTTGCGTTTCTCCTTTGTGAGTTCAGATGCTTCTCTAAAGCACACTTCTTTGAAAGCTGCTTAGAAACACATTCACACAAACAAAAAAAACTCACATTTTCCTTACAGTATCATGGATAACAAAGGCAGTAACTTTTAACCATAGAAGGAGGATGCTCAAGTAGTGATATATTGTGCCATGTTTGGCCACAGCGGCTGAGGATCATGATTGAGCTTGAGAATAAAACATCCAGGACTTTAAGGAGGCAGGAAAGAAGCTTTTCCAATGCCCATATTATGATCCAGATCATGTACTGCACAAAGTCAGAAGACAGAAATCACGGAAGATGAGGAGTAATACACATCCATCTTTGCTCGAAACCCAAGAAAGCAGGAGCAAAGCTTCAGATCAGCCTCTGCTTGGAGTTACCAGGTTATTAACATGATTATCTGACGTAATACACTTGGCGAAGAAAAAAAGGCTACATAGAATTAAGAAATAAATGATTAGTGTGAAAAATGTGGCTGAGAAACAGTTGTTTGTGTTTGAAGACATGTTTTAGATACGGATTTGTTAGCAGCCAGTGCTACAGTATGTGAATCCAGCAGTCACGTTCTATACAACGTCTCAGTTCTCCTTCAGAACTCACCAGGGGCCCTTACGGGAAGCGGGTTCAATCTTTACACATTGCACCTTTAACAGAAAAAGACAGATTGACAATTTAATAGAATCTAGAAAACAACAAAAAAGGTCTCTCTTTTTGCATGAGCACCGCGAGCCGAAAAACACAAGGCTGCCGCTGTCCTCCACAGTCTCAGTGTGTCTGTGACGGTGCGCACAACGAATGAGTCCTCCCCTCAATCCCATGAGCCCACAAATTAAACCAAACCCAAACTAAAATCCAGTCCAATCACAGCGCATGAAGGGAGCCTCCATAAAACATGTCATTTACATTCAATATTGGTAACGTGACTAGAAAAAGAAAAGAACAATGGATGTCCATTGTTAAAAAAAAAAAACAATGGAATTCAAGAAAATGAGACACGAAAAGGTGAAAATTAAGAAAGACGAAAAACAGATCCTTTGCATCGGAAAACAAGAAAAAAAAATGGTTTCGATACAGTTTAGACACTCAAGATTCACTTTCCAAGAGCTGGACAACAGATGAAACAGTGAGGTATATAGTTAGATGGAAATAGTCATCATCTTGTTTGTGTTTTCATTGCCCCGTGGCCCTCGAGGACCACCAGACCGCACTGTGGCGGCCCTGAGTCTGTATCCGGGCAGCAATTTTCTCTGAGGGGCGAGTGCGTGCCCAGCACGGGCTGTCCGAGGGCGAGAATGGGAGGGCTAAGATCGGCATGTCAAGCTACGGCTGGAGGTTGAGAGTGAACTTCCACTGCTGGGTGAGTGACGGGCTGCACACCTCCACCGTCAGGCCACCGTTCCGTGCGCTTCGGCTGTCCAAGCACAGATTACTGCCCACATGCCGCAATTTGGAGTTGTTGTCGATCTGCTCCCATTTCTGCAATGGAAACATAATGATGATGATGTTGAAAATCTGAGTAGCGGCGTCTCCTCCAAACCCCTGCTTTGAGCACAGCATGCTCACCTGTCTGCTGTCGTTCTCCCTGCAGCCCTGCAGTTTGATCTGTGAGCCAGCGGTGCGATCCACCACTGTCAGGCAAAGGTCCATGTGTTTGATTGATTTGTCTTTAGTCAGGGCCCATTCCTGTTCATTAGAAACATGGTAAGCAGGGAGCATTTGCAGAAAATACACCCACATAAATCAACATAGGAACTTGGGACACAAAAACGACTTGGTGAGAGGATGCCATTTTCTGAAATGTACGGTACATAGGTAAGTTTGAGAAGTTTTGAGATGTTATGTGTTGTGATATGCTATAATCCACCCAAAAGCATGCTGCTAATTCTTTTATAATTATGCAGTTTTTGTGATCTCTTATTAAGGTACAAATGTGTTTAAAATGGTGAAAATAACTAAAAGTAGCTCATTAATATATAATTTGATATTAATCTAAATTAATAAAACATACTAATTAATTATGATAAATATAATATTATTTGAATATTAGAATGAATGATTTCTGAAGGATCATGTGACACTGAAGACTCAAGTAATGGATGCTGAAAATTCAGCTTTACCATCATAGCAATAAATTGCATTTCAAAGTCTATTACAATTATTTAAAAACGTAATAACACTGCACAATATTACTGTTGCACTGTATTTTTGATCAAATAAATATATATAAATATATATTTATTTTTCATATTCAAATAGACAAGCATATACTTATGTATACGTGTGATGAACCCTTTAAATCCCTCAGACGTGTGACGATAAACGTGGGTAAAGTAATCCAGAAACTACTGTGTGGCCCTCATCTATACATCACTCACCCTCCACAAGTGCATCGTTCCTTTAAACTAACCCAAACTCACTGCTGAGTCCATCACTCAGTGCTCTGCTGCCACACCTGACATAAGACTGTTCAGTACCTGAGATCAGATTGGTACCTGATTGCCCCCTGCGTTGTGGCACTCGTACACCCCCACCACACCATCAGCAAAGTGTCCCAGTGTGTCCAGACAGTTCTGACCCTGTTGTAGTGCTCCAAAGGCTATGTCCTGATGATCAGGGACCCTAAACAAGACAGAAACAACAAGTTAGGTACTAATTAAGCCACCTGCAGTACTGGTAGTGGGCTTTAATAAAAATTTTAAAAGTTTATTTATTTAAAATGTACATGTCTAGACTTAAAAAAAACTGCCTGCACATTTAAACATTATAAGAAAGGGTTAAAGGCTCTGTTTACACTTCATCAATCATTGTTCCAAACAAAAGGTTTTAAACAGCCGGTCATGTACAGAAAACCATCTGATCAAAAAGCTCATACATATTTATGCACAAAACTTCACAGAACACAGAACAGCAGGTGTAAACAGGGCCAAAGTGATCCTACAGCTATTTTTATTTCGCTTAGGTCAGACACTCACCGTAGCTCAGGATAGACGTTCTCCAGGTACCACTTAAATGGTTTGCAGCCCAACCTCTTCTTCATTTCCAGCCTGCTCTGAATGCTGCAATTAAAGAGGAAAACTAGTCATGTGGAGTTCATTTGGAGGTCGAAATGTTTCAAAACAGAGAACTTCAACTAGCCAAGTCTGAAATTAGTGGCCTCTCGTGGCCTTGGCAGTGAGAAATTAGCTTCTTCTCATGTTGAAGAAAGCAAATGTGCTACTCTATATTCCAAAGCTTTCCCTTAGCAATATTATTTCTAAATTAAGACAGATAAACACTTACTTGCCATAGGGTACATTACGGGCTGAGGGCACAGCAGCGTAGTAGAAGTTCTTAAAATCGTCCATCCAAACCTCTGCCGCTCGCCTTGTGTTCCTGCAAAGACAAACACAAGCAGATGAGAATAAATTATACATTTTATATAGAGATACTAATGTTCTGCTAATGAGCATAACATGTCTACATTATTGCTTCATCTAACTTCAACACTAACAGATCTTCTGCGGCACATTACTGGGTGTTTTATAACTACCGACAGAATGTCACTTTCAATTTCAACTGCACTACCTCACAACAGCTCACATATCACAGACTGCCGTACTGCTTTCACCCACTGGGTGGAGTGCATGAACCAGAATAATAAAGGGCTCATGTCGCTTGAGCAATCATAAAACCAAAGATAAATAAGAATTGTGTTCTTTAGCTACTGTAACAATTCTCAGTCTGGATACTCAGGAATATAACGTCTAGCAGGGTTACAACAATCCTGACTACAGTTAACTAAACTATCCTGAAACGGTGATTATAAACTGGATAGCTCAAAGTCTAACTCTGGACGAACCACACCATATTATATATAATAAAATATAATGTAACATAATATAAAATGTAATACGATACAACACACTACAATACAATACAATTCAGTTTATTGCATCTTTTCTGAATAAAAGTATTAAATTATTTTTAAAAAAAAAACAAAAACTAATCCCAAACTTTCAAATGATAACATAATATAATTCGGTGGACACCTGGCAAAAACAGTTCCGCTGCCCCCTGGGAAAGTGTATGGATGCTGTTTCCTGAAGACATGACCGACTCGACTGCAGGGAATGATCTCCAGACTGCCTCCACACTGCCAGACCCGGAATGAGATCTCTGAGGATCACAACAGCAGCCAGAGATTAATAAAACCCATCACAGAACACACAAACAACCAATTCATAAATGTAAAAGGGAAAATAAAGCAAAGGGTCAAAACTCATAATTGCACAAGTGTTATATTCAAACAAACAAACAAAAAAAGCACTGCTTTTTGAAACTTCTTGGTCTTTACAAACTTCTTTAGACACACACAAATGCAAAATGCAACTTTATTCCAGGCTGATTGATAATTTCTGGAGCTGCTGTATAATATAATTCGGTGGACACCTGGCAAAAACAGTTCCGCTGCCCCCTGGGAAAGTGTATGGATGCTGTTTCCTGAAGACATGACCGACTCGACTGCAGGGAATGATCTCCAGACTGCCTCCACACTGCCAGACCCGGAGATAGATCTCTGAGGATCACAACAGCAGCCAGAGATTAATAAAACCCATCACAGAACACACAAACAACCAATTCATAAATGTAAAAGGGAAAATAAAGCAAAGGGTCAAAACTCATAATTGCACAAGTGTTATATTCAAACAAACAAACAAAAAAAGCACTGCTTTGTGAAACTTCTTGGTCTTTACAAACTTCTTTAGACACACACAAATGCAAAATGCAACTTTATTCCAGGCTGATGGATAATTTCTGGAGCTGCTGTAGACTTTTCCACAAGCAGCACAGCTGAGAAAAGTGCTGTGTTTGTGGAATGAGTCAGAATTTTCTTTCAGAATCCATCATGCCACACACATAATGACAAAACCTGAAAAACTCTACCTCATTGAGTCTTACACTGCAGTTTTCTATTCTAGTCTCATTGCTAATAATATAAAAACAGCAGTAGTTCTTCAGTGGTGACCTGAATTGCCCCTTAGATGGACACATTACATTTTGTCTGAGTAAGGCATTATCTCAATACAATCTAATTATAGAAGTATCATGATCTCATTTTCAGATTTATATACGGTTGATGCAACATAGTATTTGGACATGTCACATTTAAGGACACAAATTCATAAATTTCGCTGCATTATATAAACCATGTGGCCTACGTAAACAATTAATGCTGACCTTTTTTTCAACCATTTTTGCATGTGAGCAGCTGGTCCTAAAATAATTTTAGTGGATGTATGAATTCACACTGCCTTCAGGCCCTCATAAATAGATCCTACTTCAAAGTTAATTAAATGCAATTACAATGTAATGTGCACTGAAATGACTTTGGTAGAAATAAAGATAGGTGCATTAGAGAAATTCCCTTTCCCTTATATATACTGTATATTGCAATATGTGTCCAAATACTTTTTGGGGCCACTTTGAATAGGCAAATCTTCGACATAATCAATAAAGGACACACTGGTACACTGAGAAGATCCACTGTGTCTTCAGTCAGTCAGCTCCAATCAGAAGAAATGCAGGGCATTTAGAGAAATAAAGCATCCACTCACCAAGATTCTCACCGCCCCACACGTCCATCATCATGTCGTACTTTCCCAGCTCCTCAAAGTAGTTCTTATCCATTACAAAGAGGCCACCAGCAATCATGGGAGTCCTGGAGAACACAAGCATCACAAAATATGAAAACTGAGATAAAATCAAACCAAATCTTGGACTTGCTCAGAACTTTATACACTTCATAGAACTTACTTTCTATAAAATATAATCTAAGCAGTTATCGGACATACTGGCGATGTGTATTGTTTCAGTGGCCATTTGTGACTGTGCTCATTTCACTCTTCAGTGCTGCGATAGAGCAATCTGATCACAGCCTCATAAACAAATTCATTAAACAACACCGGAATCAATAAACAAGAATGAAGAGTGCTGTGTCATGAAGACTTTTACACAGCACATCCCATAAAGGCACCACACTGTTTATTATCTTAATGTACTTTTAATGTACTCGCTGCACAGTGATTGAGATTTCACATCACAGCAACACACCCTCCATACAATCCCCCATTTGGGTCCCTTCACACCTTACTTTCTCTTTCTCGCTCGCCTTTAGCTGTTAATGATTCGAGTCATTCCCTGGAGGACAGACCTTTTACAAACTAGCAAGCAAGCAAGCACATGGGCTAACTTGTTATTTTGTTATTACAAGAACTTTAGGGATTCTTTTCCTTGTTGACAGCAGAATTAACATTTGGAGGCAGATCTTATGTGTATTTAAAGAGACTTGTGCACATTAGTTTACCACATGCCATGTTTGAGAGCATAGAATTTGGACAAGAAAATCATCATAAAATAACTCTAGCACTATAGCCATCTGTGTTATTGTTAACTGAAACCATTAAAAAATCTTTTTTATCAATGAAATAAAGCTCAAATAAATTACATTATAAATATTAGATGAAAAACTTAAACTTAAAAAATTTAATTAGAATGTCAACTTTGCAACTAAGTGAAATAAGGTTAAGCCGAAGTACTACAATTGCAAAAACTAAAATATAAAGCTTAATAAAAAAATAAAAAAAAGTTTAATAAAAGTAATATATCAAAAACAGCCTGCACACCTATAGCTGGAGTTCTGTTTCAAGAGAGTCTATACATTAAACAGCTGACACTGAATTAATTAGAGAACAGTGTGAGAAGAATAAAAAGTAGTCATCTGTCAATAATTATCACCAACTCACCGGTTCATGATCCAAAACATTTGTAACACAGATATTTAAGAAGAGAGACTAATGCTTACTTGATAGGAGCAATGGGGTTTCCTTGCCGTGCTCGTCTTTGTTCCAGAGTCATGTAGTCCCATTTAAAAACTAGATTCCAATCAAAACCTGGAAGATTACACATTACATTAGGGATGAAGTCTGATTTTAAATGTAGGTTCAATGCCCTGTTCAGCCATGTGTCAGGCAAGGGAATAAGGGGGCATATTACTGATACTGCAATTTCTCTGATGAAAAGACTGAGGCTTTGTTCAGAATAGCATACTATTTTGTCAGTATGCAGCATGTATTCTGTGCACAGTATTCAAATGTTTTAATATAACTTTTCTTTTCACCAAAAGACATTCCACACAAAACTGGATTAAAACCATATTTGCATTTCCAGTAGGAAATACCACAGCTTGCCAGACAGCAAAAGAGTAGTCTTAAAGTTTTAAGTAATCGTGGGGTTTAGGCTTTGGTTCTGTGTAAATGCTGTATCTTTAAAACCTTACTGTTGGCAAGTCTTATTTTACAAATGCCTCTTGTTTTCTGTCTGCTGTACACAAGAATCAACATAAAATGTGACACTTGGTAGCTTTAGATGGTTAAATAAATGCAACAAAAAAAAACGAATCAACATACATATATAGTACTGTATGCAAATAAACAGAAGTACTTAAAATCTAATATAAATGAAAATCACTAAAATTACTAAAATAAATAAATATAAATATTAAGAAAAAATAAATATTCAAATATTAAGAATAAAATACAAAATTAGAAATGATGACTTGACATTTCAAAATTCTTAAATATACAGAAAAAAATCTACAATAAGTTTAAATGGAGTATGCATTTAACTGTTTGCTGAATTAATAGCAGCAATTTCTGGATAAGTAAAACAGTAGTAAGAACTGTAAATAACCATTTTAATCCTCAAATTCAAGATGCAGCATATCAAAGAGACACTAATGTAGCATCATACTATTTAAAATGATTTGGTACTGCCTTACATAGTACTCTTTTTTTCTTTTCTTTTTTTTTTTAAGTAGCATACAGTAAAAACTGTGCACAGTATGCAGCAGCCCTGTATAGTATTCCATTCTGAACATATTATAAAGAAAGGAGAAAATGCTAGATAAAGTCTGAATGCCAGTTAACTAGCACACATTCAACCAAAATGTGCTGAGAAAAGCCCATATAAATAAAATGATATTTATAACCCATGCTGCTTTATAAAATACAGTGATATCAACATGGATAGATCAATTTCCATATTATTTGCCACTGCATCCAGAAACCTCCGAGCTCATAGAGGAAAAGCTATTCCACTCAGAGATCACTTCCTCACTTCCTCTTTTTGAGATTCATCATGCTCTCTCACTCTTCTGCACATTGCACTGCCTCCACAAATTCTCTCTGTACTGCTTTCACTCCAAACATGCATTTGAACATACAGTACCACACACTGAATATAGCCCTGCACATGAAATATAGCAAATGCCATCTGCTGTATTATCCATAAACACACACAAATACATGCATGAATGAATGCAATCATATCATACACAAGCACACAATCCAACCGAATAGGTTCTGGATAGTGACTGAATTATGTTATGATGAAATAGGAGCTGATGAAAGAGATTTACCTCCTTTAAGATCTGCAGATGCCCCCACATACTGGAAATTGTCCATGTTAATGACATCTATGATGGGTGACACGACCCGAGTCTTATCCTGCCGAGAACAAAAATGAAGTGAGGCTGGGCTGACAGTACAAGACAGTATGAAAAGAGATGACTTCTCAATGCATCTCTGCTACAATGCATTAAGATGTATCTGATAGAAACGATAAAATTAAACTAGAATTAAAATTGCTGAAAGTCCTGACATTAAGAAATGTGCACTGCTCTGCCGTTACGAATCACGATAAATCCATCAGAAATACCTAGGAAAATCCCATTAATCTCGTGGGCTTCGCTGACACATCACTGGAGTATTTAGAGTTGAGAGCTAGGAGTTAAACACTCCAGAAAAGACAGGCAATCAACTCTACGTGATAGGAGTGGAGAATTTAACACTACATATAAATGCATTGCTTCTCAGACATCTTCCAATATTCATCATGACAATTCTGGGATACCCTGACGAATCAAATCATCCCAACTGTGGCTTCACCTCTGAATTAACAAATTCATTTGTCACCGTGCTGCAATGTTTCCACAGGGCAATTTTCTAAAACATATTCATATGCATGTAGGTACAATAAATACGGTTTGTTATATTAGTGCATTCAAATCATTAAATATCTGTCTTCAGTTAATTTAGTGAAAGACTAAAATTGTTTTGCTGAATAAAAACATGCCTTGATTATTTCTATATTGATTTTTACTGTATTTTACTTCTTGCATTAAACATTCTGAAACAACAAATGATTGTTTGGTTAAAATGATGGTTCCTGTGAAACTTTTTAACCCACAGAGACCCAGCGGAGCAGACTGTCAATGTTTGTATAAAGCAGTTCAATAATACGAAACATTCTGTAGATATGGGTAAAAACTATGCTTAACAATAGCTGATACTTTGAAATTTATCACAACAATTTTTTGGTGGTAGTTTGTGTTTAGGCGAGTACTGATATAAAGCTGGAAGAACTCAACCTAATGACGACTAATGATGAGTGGATGCAAATGAGAAAAATGTCAAGAACCATTAAAACAGATTCAGTAAGAGTTCAGCTCTTGGCTAGATCTACTCTTAAATTTAGACAGTTTATTTCTGCTCATGCACACAAATGTTTTCAATTAGAATAATTATTTTGCTTCAATGTAAGTTCTGTGTAGAGGTACTTCTCCAGAAGCTGGACAACATTTAATTCATGCTCTGTATAATCATCATGATGAAGCACTCGGATAAATTATGGGGTCACTAACTCCACAATTTGATTATGTGCTTATCTGGGTCATCCAACTGAAAATGAAGACACCTAACAATATAAATGGGGTTATGAAACCTCTTAATACATTTATGCTTATAATTTATACTTTCAGTGTCTTGTACTTTGTCCCTGTTATTTATTTTGTGAGTCAAAAGCCTTGAGGCAATTTCAGAGTAATTACGTGTGCCTAAAGACACAACTGAAGCAAATATTACTTTTAGGTCAATCTGATCCTGATCCAGAACGGACCTGCACATCCGCAATTGGTGTGTATTTGCTTGCATTCAACACACCTGTGCACACACACTGAGGTCTTATCTATATGCTGTACTAACACACAGTGTTGAATGACACTAGTTTCCCTCCACAATTGTTTTTAAGGCTTGTTTGAGAATTGTTGGCAGTCGTCAGCAGGATTAGATACAAACAGGTGTAATGATATGGCACTGCAAGTAAAGTTTGTGCGTCAAGACAGGCAGCCAAAGAAAACAACTTCTCATCTACTCTTCTCTTTTATCATCTTGGCCTGACATTTGCAGTTGCAGTGAGCTGCTAAATGTCCACTGCTGTAATGAGCATGTGAGATTATAGCCTCCAAAAGCAATGGCTAATTTGCCAAATCTGAGAACCATAAGACCCAATGTTTTGCTGCTTGTCAGAGAAAGAAACAACAAGACAGAGAAAGAAAAACATGGCTGACCTCAGCAACCCTTTCTAGCAGGGGCTCCAACCAGTGTTCATTACACTCGCAGTGGCTGTCAAGGAAGGTTAGTACACTGGCCGTGGCCGCATCCGCCCCTCTGACTCGGGATCGCATCAAGCCTGAAACACAACACACAACCACAGGATTGAGACTCAAGGCACTGATGCAATCTGAACTATGCAGAAGGTTATTCTCCCTGTGTTCTGACCTAATGATCTACACAGGAAACCATAATGATAGTCCAACATACAGATGTCAAAAGTACTGCCATTTTGAGTACTTCACAAGTTTGGTAAATGAGATTTTGGAAAAAGTAATGATATGATGCCCATTTATTATGTCTATTATTGGTGAGGTATTAGGTCAGTTCTGTCTGAAGGGAATGTATACAAGTAGACAAAAATCACCTATTGAACATGAGCACAAAGTTAAGCCATAATAGGGAAAAAGGAGAACCTCTGACAATTTCATCATATCTAATCATCCATTTCATTTTACATTTAACTATTTTTTTTTTATTATTTCTGAATGTTTATTTGAATACTTTATAATGTTGTTAGACACCTGAAATAACCTTTAATTTGTACATTGCTAGTAATTTTTTTTACTTATGTTATTACCAACAATTTATTATAATTACTTGAAAAAAAAACAACATTAAAAATAGCACACAAACACACCAAATAAAAATCAAACAAACAAAAAACTTAAAAAAAAAAAAAACATGGCTGTCACCATATCAATGTATTTGGATCTCATATACTGTATGACCACAAGGCACAAAATAAGCAAAGAAAAATCTTCCTATCTCTAAAATATGATGAGTGAAAGCTCATCTAGTGTCTTATGTGGAGACCTAAGAATCGATTTTCAAGCACAGAGGAACATTAAATATTAATTAACCAGTTTGGTTCTTTATAACAACAAAATCTATATGATCTTTATGAGCAGTTTTTTTTTTTGACAATTTTTTTCACATCTTGACACTCACAGTCAATCTAACATTAATTCACTACAAGCTTTACCAGGGACTGAAGTAACACACGTTCTTTCTTTCCTTTACTATTGAGTAATTTGTGTTTTTAAAAAAAGAAAACCTTTGAAAGGCTTTGAATACGAATAAACAAACTGCAGTTTTATAAAACGCCTTCCAAAAATACACTCCAGCTCGTAACAGACCATTTGCTTTTCTCTTCTTTTATCGTCTCCATATTTGCACCTATGAAGTATGCAGTGCTTTTAATGACTTCATGCTGAGGCTGGTCACAATTAGTCGCAAAAGTAAAACTTCAGCTAGTTTTAATAGATGCCTAGATTTTAATGATCAAACAAGAGCTGCTAGTAAAGACCCACTGGTCCTTACATATTAACTTGGGTGTAGTTTTGATTAACAATGTTACTGTGATTCAGAGGGTTATAAATCACTTACCCTCTCGACGATCGTTCCGTAGGACTCTGACTTTCTCCATTTTTCCAAGTAAGGCACCATCTTCAGCTGAAAGCCCAGAGAAAACATTGCGTCAGCTCAAGTGTTCAGGGCAATACATCTCTTCTATTATATATGCTGTAGTTAATATACACAGGAGGAATGTGGTGTATATTACACAAAGATGTGCCAGTGGGCAAGTTGTGTCACTTCCTTAATCCAGAAAAAGTCTGTGCACAATTTTGTAAATGTCACCATATATTTAGAAAGGGCACATCATGAACAGCTTGCTACAAACTTTTTTCTGGTCTTCTTGAGAAACTTTAGGACAGGGAACTGGGAGCCAAATTTCTTTGAAAAATCTGAGGGAGAGCTGGCAAAGAAAAATTCACTAGAATTTTTTTTTTTTTTTTTTTTGCCACAGTTACATCCTGAAGAAGCTACTTCATCCCAAATTTAAAAGAAATGAAAAGGTAGGAGCATAATTTCATATTTTCTTGAAACCTTAATGGATTGTGAACCTTTTTTGACATATCTGTGACCATAAGTTACAAGACACACTGAAATATAATCAGGTGCATTAGTTTTACCACCACCAAATGAAAATGCAGTGAACAGTTCTGAAAGAGCGTTATATCCAAAAAGAAAAGACCATTTTCAAATGGCAATATGAAAAAGCAGGATCACAATTCACACATGTAAAACCATAGAAGACGAGGACTAAGTCCAGTGCCTGTCAGGTTCCCTGCAGCAGAGTGTTATAAAGGAGGGCAGCACTGCCTTCAGGACAGGGTTCACACAGAGTTCAGACATCTGAAGAAGTCAAACCATAGGTTTGGCATCCAAAAAACAAGTGTGATGGGTTGAGGACTCGGGAGAGAGTTTTTATACAATCATGCAAATCTCAGTTGCACTGTTGCCATGTTCTGCTATTCAGATGCACTTTATGATTTATGGTGAGAAAGGATGAGTGTGCGATGATAAAATAAGAAA